CAGTGTGCGGCCGGCTGCCTTCCCCTGGCCGCTGTGCCCTGCCCTGTGCCAGGCCCTTCTGGTCCACTCTGGATACTAGCCTGAGTCCTCCCTTCAGCCAAACACAGCCGTGCAGGGCGGCTCCTGCATAGTCACAGCTCACACTATCACAGGAAGACGCGGCCCTGCTGGCCCTTCCAGAATGTTCTGTCCTCAGTGGGCGTGTTCCCCATGCTCCTACCAAGGAGGTCGGTCTCTGCTGCTTCTCCTCACAGGCTCTTCAGAGCCCGGGCGCGTCTCCTGCCCATTCTTCAGGTGGTTTGTGGGATGCACTCAGAATCCTGGTATGGGGGGGTGTGGCCAGAAAATGATCTGCTCTTGGAGTCCAGTCAACCTGCATTTCTCTTTGGAAGTCACTGCAGAGAGCCTCGCTGCTTCTGGGCCCCATTCTGCCTCTGTGTGCTGGCCCGCCACCTCCAGCTAACTTGTGCTTATGGCTCAGGACCCAGACACACCACCGTGTGGATGGCGAGGTGCCTTGTCATCGGTGGCCCTAGGGCCCTGTCACAAGCCCAGGACCGCGTCAGAGTTGCACAGAGCCACTATAGACACAGACTTTCCAAGGGAATGGTCTGGCCGGCTCTCCGGGAGTCCACATACACCTTGGTGATCATATGCCCACTTCTTCTATTTCAGCCTAAGTTTAAAAATATACTTATTGAGTCATAATTTGAACATAGGTTCTTGATTTTTAACATCTTACCAGTTTCCAAGCACATAAGAATCATGGAGCCCTTTGAATATATTCACATCGGTGAGTCCGTGTTAAAATGCATGCTGTGTGTAAGTAACGTGTTGGCTCGTCTTTATGTAGCCTACAAACATATGCCTGTTATACATAACACGGGCATAATTCAGATTAGAAACGAAGAAACAAAATCACCCCGTTCCACTAAATGCAGCAAGTACCCTGAAGACAAAGACTTCCAGAGTAATCCTTTAGAAAAACCCCAAAGGCTCAACTAGGTTCATGGGAGACCCCTTTTACATGTGACTGCGGGACACTCAGAATGAAACCAAGAGAAGACGCTCGGGGAAGCAGCAGCCAGGAGGCTGGTGTGGCTGCATCTGGTCAGAGCCAGAAGTGAAGCCTGACGGTCAAAGCGCCCACCAGGCAGGTGCAGGGACCATGCCCCACGTGAACGCCATGGAGGCATGGGCTCTGGAGAAAGGGCTAAGCCAGACAGCAACCTCAGAAGACAGGTGTGAAAGCTGCACATTTGGGAACCCAGAAACCCATTTAAAAGTGACCCATGGCAGCCAGGTGTGATCCCAGCGGCCAGGAGGCTGGGGCAGAAGAATGCAGAGCAAGGCCAGCCTTGGAGACTGGTGAGCCCTGAGTGAGAACAAAATGAAATTACAAGGGCTGGGAATGTGGCTCAGTGGTAGAGCACCCCTGGGCTCACCCCCGTACCAAAAAAGGAAAAAAGTGACCAGCAAATTCTGTCACCTTTGCAGAAGAGATAAAGTGATGGTTTCAACATACACAAAAATGATACAATTTATCCCTGTCCATGTTCAAGTTTTCAGCAAACCAGGAAGAGAAAAGCTTGTGGATGGGTGGTTTGTAACAATCCCACAGCTGATGCTTCTTAGTGGGATACACTGAAGCATGGTCCTGAAATCAGAATGGTCCGCAGATGCTCACAGCAGTCCTCTGATCAGCAGGCTGGCGTGTCCAGCAGTTGGGAGACAAAGAGCACAGGTGGAGAAGCTCGTTATTTGTAGATGGTGTGGTGGTGCACATAGAAAATTTTAAGAAATTTAAAAATATTAGAATTAAGTGAATTTAACAAGGTCTCCGGACTCAAGATTAATACAAAGTCATTCTATTTCCATGTGCTAGCAGAGATGGTAAGACTAATATTTAAAATCACAGTATACAATAAAAAGCAACAACAGAGATCTAGAAATAAATGTAGCAAAACTCATTCAAGTCCCTAAACTGAAAGTAATAAGCTCAGAGGTGTCAGGTGCCTAATATATGTGTATGAGCGTGTAAAAATGTGCTCACAAATCAGGAGACTTACTGGTGTGGTTTGTTCCTCCAGACCAACCCAAAGGTCAACAGAATCCCAACTGAAATCTGGGCAGGGATTTCTTTGGAGGCAAGAGAAATTAAAGTGACTCTAAAATTTATACAGCAATATAATATTAATTTAAGACAAGAAAGGCTCGATCAAGAAAAACAAAATCAGGGGATCTCATGCTCCAATTTCAAGACTGAGTCTGTAGTAATAAGGTATATTGGGATAGAATAGAAGATCCATCCAGCGCGGCAGGACCGAGACCCCAGGAACTCATTCAATGGGCCATGTAACCCGAGGCCAGGCCCCTCAGTGGACAGCGCTGGGGCCACGGCAGCACATGGAATCCTGCTTCACAGACACACAAAGAGGAACTTGAGACAGGATGTGAGAGAGTTAAGAAACCAACACTGGGGCGACCTCCAGCCCCCAAGGGAAGATTTCCACAGTCCACCAGGATGAGAAGACCCATGCCGTGCGTGCTGTGGGCGTTACGAGCTGTTCGTTTCTCAGAAAGTGCTGCGTTGGGGTTCACTACGCGGCATCCCTGGAGCCCATGAGGCAAGGCAAGAAGGTTCAGAGGTGAAGTGACTGGGTTATGAGAGCTGTCACCTGGTCAGTGGGTTCACCCACCGGCAGGGCTCAGCTGGTGGTGACTGCTGGGTCACGGGGGTGGCCCGTGGGGTTTACACTTTGTTCCTGGTGCCGTGCCCTGAGCTGCTCTCCTCCTCCATGCCCATGGGGTGCTGCCTCATCCCCAGGACTGAACCTCTAAACCACGAGCCCCCACATAAGCTTTCCCTCCTCTTGTTCTTGTCGGGTCTCTTGGTCGCAGTGTGACCAGCCGACTGGAGCACTATGGACGGAATGGAAAGGCGAGCCATGCAGTGTCCTGGAGGACCGTGACAGCCCATGGGTCCGGTGAGGCCTCCCCTAGTCACTCTGAGGACTGCTGTGGGTCAGGAAGAGGCGTCCGAGGGAAACGTTCAGGAGTCCACAAGAGAAGGCTTCCAGATGCCCCCAGACAGGAGCGCTCGAGGGGAGAGCGGCTCCCTGGCTCCGGAGGCCACCCACCCCACACGTGTGGGCCCCTGCAACTCCCACGGTTCCCACAAACCCAGGCACCTGCACACCCGTGTCCAACCAGGCACCCGAGGCTTCACCCACGAGGGTGGACGTGTGTGCTCAGAAAGGCCTTGTTCCGAGAGCCCAGACCTGGCGCTGGCTCTGCTGCCCGTGGCGCGGCGGCCAGCCGAGCCTCGCAGCCTGTCCCCAGAGGCCATCAGGGTGCGTGTGTGGTTCCAGGTGTCAGTTCAAGGCAAAGCCGTCCAGGCGGTAGAAAGTCAGAACGCAAGTGGCTGCTGTCCACGGGGCGGAGTCCTAGGGAACCTGCTGAGGAGCAGCGTCTCGTCCTCCTCCCTCGTGGCAGTTGGGTGTGGAGCACTCCCCTTTTGGGGTAGGGGGTCATGCACTTGACCACATTTTCTTAGACCTCAATAAAAAGGAAGGTCCCAGGGGTCACGGAGGCCCCCTGCGTCTGGTCAGGAGGGTGGGCAGTGGAGTCTGGTCTGGGCTGCTCTGGAGGGGCCGGCAGGGAGCCTCAGGTGCACGTGTCCTTACTGGCCAAGGCTCCTGGGGTCCCCACGCACCGGGACCCAGTGAGCCTGGCCGGCTCACCACCCTTTCTCCTGTCGGGTGGGAGTGACTCCCTCTGTTCTCCTGAGCGGCAGGGTCCAGACCTGGCCTGTCGTGCCTCCTGAAGCCCGGCTGGGCTCTGGCTCTCAGAGCTGTGGCCTCCCAGCTCCCCTCCACAGCAGACCCAGGCGGGGCAGCTCCTAGAGGAGGGGTCCTTCCAGACCTGGGCGCCGCGTCCTGGGAGAGGCTGGGAGACTCCTTCCCCTGGGGCGGCCACTGCTCAACCCCCCCAGGCCAAAGCCATGGGGCAGCCTGTGGCCAGGAGCCACCTCACGGCAGGTCTGGGGCCAGCTCAGGCCACAGCTTTCTGGGCAGGGGCTGCACCTGCTGGCTGAACCTCGAGGCCCTCCTGCTCTACCACCCGAGAGGGCTCTCCGGGGAGTGGGGCCCTGTCTGCTACTCAGCCAGCAAGGCAGGGCCCTCACTCTGTCCCCTGCTCCCTGTCCCCAGCAGGCAGTCACTGCTGGGGCTCATGTTCTCTTGGCCCCCCAACTGCGGCTCCACAATGGTGGCCGCCCACATGGCCAGGGTCCCCCACGCTTCACTTTCTCCTGGGTGCTGCCCTCCCTCCCAGCAGGGCAACAGAACACAGATGCCCCTCAGCCTGGGTCATGGCCAGTGTGCTGGGCCCTGTGCAGGAAGAGTGGCCTGGTACTTCCTCCTGAGCTGCTGGGCTGCCACCCGCAGAGGGTCCCATGCCACGGGCTGCTGAGGTGCTGCATGGGAGCCTCTCCAGGTGCAGAGGGTTCTGCAGACTGAGCTGCTCGGCAGCTCCACTGGCCTTAGTGCCACAAGATCCTGGGGCCTCCTGGGGCCTCCTGGGTCAGGCCACTGCTGCCTGGCTCTGCAAAACCACCAACAATATCTTGGGGTCTGGGCAGCAGTGGACTCACAGGGTGGTCACTGGTCACTGGTGTGGACTGGAAGGTCTGCATGGCATGTCCATTTCTTACGGGGGACCATCGGACGCGGTGCATGCAGATAAAGCCTCTGCATAGGGACCTCCAGTGGTTCCCATGTGGCCCCAGGCCTGGTATCCTGGGTACACATGCAGCCAGATCCACAAGGTGGGTCCCCACTTCTTGACCTCCCTGTCCAGGAGCACTCTGGCAGGCCCGGGTCCCCGGCTGTGCTCTGGTTGGAAGGACACCCTGGCCTGCCCCAGCCAGTCCTAGACCCACGCGCACTGGGCATGGCCAGCTTTGCAGCCTCACGCGCTTTCCGCATCTTGCTTTGTAGTGGCGATGCTTTCATCTCCAGTTCAAGGAATTACTTTTCGCAGTGCCAGGCTCTGCTGAATAAGATCACTTCTGTGAACCCCCAGACAGAGATCGACGGGCTCCGGAACATCTGGATCATCAAACCTGCAGCCAAGTCCCGGGGCCGAGGTGAGTTCCCCGGGAACGGGTGCTCCATGGGCACGAGCCACCCTTGTTGACATCCACCCAGGGGGTGTCGGGAGCGAGCCGTGGTCTCCAGCTTGTGGCCCTGTGGGGAGGTGGGGAGCTGGGGTGGCGGTCACTGGGGGCTCAGGACTCACAGGTGCCTGGTGGAGGAGGAGGACGCACAATCCCGTCTCAGTGCCATGTTCAGGTCTGCATTCCCAGGTTAGACTGGTTTGTGGTCGTCCTTCTCTATGACCTTGGTTGAGCTTAGTGACAGGCTTACACCAGCCTTTGAAACAGAGGGTGGACGTTCATCTCAGGGAGAGCGATTCCTACACCTTAATTCACTAGCAAACTCATCCCTAAAACTCAGACTCTTGCTGGGTGTGGTGGCCACACCTAGAATCCCAGCAACTCAGGAGGCTGAGGCAGGAAGATCACAAGTTCAAGGCCATCCTCACAATTTAGTGAGGCCCTCAGTAATTTAGTGAGACCCTGTCTCAAAATAAAAAATAAAAATGACTGCCAGTGTAGCTCAGGGGTAAAGCACCCCTGAGTTCATCCCCAGTGCTGAAAACTAGACACATTAATTAACTAAAATAAAAACCAGCTTCTCTCTCAGAGCAGAGCCCTAACACTGCTTAGATTTTGTCTGTGCTTGTGGTTACTGCCTATTCAGGTTTTTTACTTCATTTTCTCAAATTACAGCCATTATTATATTCTGATTTTTTCCTAATGGAGTGAGTGTTTCTGTGTGTTTCGGTAGAACTCAATGTGGTTTTCTCATTTTACCCGTGTTTTCAATCAACCTTTGGTGGCATTTTCCAGTCTTCCTGTTGGGCATGTCCCCCTTATCTCTGACTTGAGTGCTGAGCTCACTTGTCCCCAGTGCTGCGAGATCCCCTCTGTGGACAGCCTTCGCGGCACCCTCTTGTCTGTGATTCAGAATGTCCTCTTCTTCCTGGGTGTCCGAGTCAGCTTTACTTTTAGTTTGGATATTCCATTTGCATCCTGAGTTATTTTGAGTGGTTTGTTGATTTTTGTGATCTTAAAACATGCATTAATGTGTGGTTTTGTTGCCTTCCGTCCTGAGCCTCCTCTTGCCTGGCAGGTGGTCCACACCCCGTGTCCTGCAGACTTCTTTCTGCTCTTCTGCCCACCCCTGCCCTGTACTCTGCCCGTCCAGCCAGCCAGACCTTCCTCCCACTGCCTGGGCACCTTGACCCCTGTCTACAGCCAGAGCACAGCACTCCTCTCTGCGGGTCCCTGGCTGTGCTCTCTCCTGCCCAGGTGCTGGGCTCAGTGACTTCAGGAGTTGGGTGCCATGTCCTGAGCTCTGGTGTCAGGCAGGGTCTCCACTCCCTGGAACTGAAGGGACCCGTCTCGTGCCCTGTGAGGAGCTCTCCCTCCTGCCTCTGGAGTTCTGTGGACAGAGCGTCCCTCCACCCTGTGTCAGTCAGGATAGACCCAGGATAGACCCCTGGTGTCAGGAAACAGGCAGCCCCAAATCTCAGTGGCCCTCAGCAAAACGTTGTCACTCAGGCTTGTGGTCATTGTGGCTGGCCTGGGAAGACCACCAGGCGCTGTGCCCATCAAGTCCCCTACCTGGGGACCCCACTCCCTCAGGCTTCAGAGTTGTCACGGCAGAGAAAAGCAGAGAAAGGCAGGGACGCCAGCACACAGTGAGGCCTGCCCTCTGCCCACATGTCCCAGCCACTGCAAGTCACCTGGCCTCAGGGGGTGATGGGGAACCACAGACCTGCCACGGCACAGAGAGAGAACTCAGGGACTCCACCTCCCACGCGCACCACGACCATCAGGGCACCATTAGTGTCCTGACTGTCCAGCCCTCGAAGGCCCCACTGCCCCTGCCATGTCCCTCCTGGATCTCTGCATCCCCCTCTCTGGAGTGTGGATGGTGGCCCTGCAGTGGGTGAGCTGGGCACTAACTGTGGCTTCCTGCACTGAGGGTGAAGCTGCCCTGCCCAGCTGGCCGTGCTGTCTCCTGGTCCTGGACCCAAGGCCAGGTGGGCACTGGAGCTGAGCTGGGACCATAGAGGCCGTGCCAGGCCTGAGCTGTGGCCTCTTGCAGACATAGTGTGCATGGACCGGGTGGAGGACATCCTGGAGCTGGCGGCTGAGGAACTGCCCACCAAGGACAACAAGTGGGTGGTGCAGAAGTACATCGAGACGCCCATGCTCATCTATGACACCAAGTTCGACATCAGGCAGTGGTTCCTCGTCACAGACTGGAACCCCCTGACCATCTGGTTCTACAAGGAGAGCTACCTGCGGTTTTCCACACAGCGCTTCTCCCTGGACAATCTGGACAGGTCAGTGGAGGGCCGTCATGCCCACAGTGTGAAGCACTGGGGTGGGTGTGGGCAGGTGCCCCAGCTGCCGACGGCTCCGCACACTCACGGTCACCTTCCACCACCAAAGCACTGGGGCACCAGGCAAAGGCTCAGACATCCGGGAACAGGGTGCCCGGGTGGTGAACCCCACCTCAGCAGGTACCAGCCCGGACAGTACAGTGAGGGCCTGACTGTGACTCCTAAGGCATGGTGCCATCCACACGAGCATCCCCCAGCCTCTGCCCGAACCAAGGCTTCCTCTTGCAGTTTTGTGAGTGGCCCAACAGAGACCTTGCTGGGGTGAACTCTACCCCGATGGGGGGGGGCACACCCAAGTCCCACCTGTTAGGTCACACCTGGGGTAGGGCTGCTGGCTAATTGTCCAGAACAAGGGGGTCCAGAGGGAGGGGATCTGGGAACTCTCTGTGCACAGAACCCCAGGGAGCCCCCGCCAGCCCCACGCCTGCCCCACGATGCCTCACCAAGCCATGAGCGCCTGCCTGGCAGGTCCCACACCCTCGCTGAGCCTGCTCCGCCTGGACCGACAGGATTCCAGAGTCTGCCTGCGTGGCTGTGGCCGCCTGTGCACAGACCTGAGTGGCAGGCAGGCAGGGCCCGTAGGCCAGGGCCTGGCCCCACGGCTCTCTAGCTTCCAGAAGCTCGGACCTCTTTCCTCTCCCTCTGCCTCACATGGTAGTGCTCACGTGTGGCTGTGAGAGCAGATCCCGCCCCCAGAACAGGTTGGAATTCCCAGCCCAGGGTGCTGGCCCGACACAGCTACAGTTCAAACAAACATGTCCTCCGTCCCCCATGTCGCACTTGGTAGTCTCCCAAAAGCTGGTGTTTACTTTGAATCCATTTAGAGCCAGATAAGAGTATAACTAAGATGTCACAGGATCTGTCTCACCAGATCAGCCCTTCAAGGGCCAGTGTCCCTGCCAACGTGCAGAAGGGAAACAGTCTTGGGGAGGTCGTGACAGTCCCTTGGGCTTCTGCATTGCCTCCGCACAATCCCCGTGGCCCCAGGGGGCAGAGCCTGAAGAACCCAGCCCACTAGCATGGGCCCCTCCTGCCACCACCTGGGCACAGCAAGGCCTGAGCCACCTGGGCGGGCGACGGAGGATGGCATCAGGCCTCACAGCACCTTGCCCTGCAGTGCCATCCACCTGTGTAACCACTCCATCCAGAAGCGGCTCAGGAATGACCAGGGGCGCAGCCCACTGCTGCCTGGCCACAACATGTGGTCCAGCTCCAGGTTCCAGGAGTACCTGCAGAAGCGGGGCCGTGGGGCCATGTGGGGCAGCGTCATCTACCCCTCCATGAAGAGGGCCATCACCAACGCCATGAAGGTGGCCCAGGACCACGTGGAGGCCCGCAAGAACAGCTTCGAACTCTACGGCGCGGACTTCATCCTCGGGCGGGACTTCAAGCCCTGGCTGATCGAGATCAATTCTAGTCCCACCATGCACCCATCCACCCCTGTCACAGCCCAGCTCTGTGCCCAGGTACAGGAGGACACCATCAAGGTGGTGGTGGACCGCAAGGTCGATCGCAACTGTGACATCGGCAACTTTGAGCTTCTGTGGAGACAGGTGAGAGAGCAGCTGCCCACTTTGGCTGCAAGCACCGGTCCATGGGATGGGTTTGGGTCCCAAGCTGCAGCCACCTCCACTTCCTGTTCCTGGAAGCAGCTGGACAGAGCCACAGGCCACCAGCCCTGCTGGATCTTGGAGGACACAGGTCCAGAGCCCAGGTCTGGTGAGCCTGGTCCTGGTGTGCTCTAAGCGCTGGGCCTGCCCTGCTCCCCTGCCTTCAGTCTTCTCCGCAGTGAGCCAAGAGCTCACTCCAGACCCCGGGAGGTCTGGGCACCCCTGGCCACCTTGTCCCAGGACCTCTGAAGTCTGACTTTGCTCCCCCTGGTGCTCAGCCCCCATCCTGACTCTGTGGCCACGGCTGGGTCCTGGCTAGAACTCCCTGGGCTCCCCTAGACCCCAGGCTGTATTTTCCAGGGCCTGCTGGGCCTCCTCTCTAGAGAACTCTCCAGCAGGCTGGACAGCAGGGCTATCTGGGGCCTTTACCTCTGGGCCTCTGCACCTTGGGTCAGGCCCTGTGGCCGAGACTCACTCTGAAGGAGGGACCAGGTGCCTGGCTGAGGCCTCACCACCGAGGCAGGACTGGGAGAGAAGGGCATCTCTGGTCCCTGGGAGCGGGGTCAGAGCCCCCCCCCCCCGGCCTGCAGGTCCCAAGAGCCACCTGGGGTCCACATCACCCAGAGTCAGGTGTGCCGGCCCACCCTCGCTCCCGCATCCTCTCCCCAGCCCGTGGTGGAGCTGCCGCCCTTCAACGGATCCGACCTCTGCGTGGAGGGCATCGGCATGAAGAAGGCCAAGAGGCAAATGCCGCCCATTACCAACTTCAATTTCCCGGCTTCCCTCTGTGACGCTCAGCTACTCAAAGTGCGGTGCCCCTCGGCCGTGCCGGGCCTGGTGGGCGGCGCGCCGCGCGGGGCTGTGCAGGACTGGAAGCGGGAAGACGCGAAGGCGCTCTGCTCCCCGCTGCCCGCGCCCCCGCAGCGGCCGGCAGAGCGAAGCTGCAGAGCGAGGCCGGCGCACGCCGAGGCGGGCGGGAAGCTCGCGCTGCCCGCCCGCGCCTGCCCGCGCGCGGACAGTAAGGCCCCCAAGAGCACCTTCTCCAAAGCGCAGCCCGCCGAACTCCTGGATGCGAGCTCGCTGAGCGTGCGCCCCCTGGCGCCCGCGCCGCAGAGCGCGAAGTCGGTGCAGACCTCGCTGTCCCCAACGCCTCCCGCCACAGCAGGTGAGATGCGCGCTGAGGACTGTGCCCCCAGGTCACCTGTGCTTGTTTGGGGATTGCAGCGGCTGTGTCTTGAAGGGATGGAACTGGGGCATCAGCATGAGCTTGGGAGCGGGATTGGGGGCAACTGGCACCCAGCATGGGGTCTCTGGTGGAGACAGTGCCAGGAGCAGCAATTCCAGTGTGACCCCGCCCTGGGCCTCGGTGGGCGGTGCCCTGTCTCTCTGGATGTAGTGCAGATGGGTTTGTGCCAGAGTGTCTGAACAGAGCCAGGCAAAGGAAATGTCACTAGACCAGCAGCTTCCCAAAGCAGCGGACCACCAGGCTCTGGCCTTGCTTTCTTGAAGGTTCTGATGGAGCCAAGTCGTGCCTGAGATGGGGCAGTGTGGCTGGACTGTATCTGCACGCCAGTGCTGCCCCGAGTGTAGCCATGAGACCCAGGGCCAGCCAGCCCCCACCTGTTCTGCCTGGTGCACTCCCCTCCCACTGGCTGTCCCCTCCATGGTCAATCTGTCTGTCTGACTGTACCTGGTCCCTCCCAGCAGCCCTCCTGGCCATGCCAGTCTCCCTTAGGTGGGAAGCTCTGGGCAGGACTGCCGCTCTGTCTCCTCCTCTGTATCCCCAGTGCCTGGGATATGCCTGGCTCTCAGCAGGTCTGCTGGACATGCGGATGCACGGATTGCCCGAGGGGGCTCCAGGCAGGAGCAGCACCATACCTCTGCAGGGCCGGCAGTGCCCCTGGAGGACACTGCCAGCCCCTGGTCCTACCTGTCACCAGGCCTGTCTGTCCTACTGCCTGGTGCCTGGCATCCCAGTGCGGGTGACTTCCAGGCTTACATTATTAAGAAAGTGTCTCCAGGAAGACTAAGGGGCCTCCACGGGCCTGGGGGAAAGGTCAGTAGACGGACAGCTGCACCTTAGCTGGGTGTGTGAACTGCCTAACATACCACAGCCTGAGAACAACAGACACTCCAGAGTGTCGGCAGGACTGTGGGGGCTCCAGGGAGGCTCCCTCCTGCCTCCTCCAGCTCCCAGGGCTGCTGGCTGCATCACCCCCTTAGGTCTGTCCCCAGGCACACTGCCCCTGTGCCTGTACGTTCAGAATCCCTCACAAGGACAGCAGTTAGGCCTACCTGCTCCAGCATGACGTCATTCACTGATTACATTGGCAAAGATTCTGTTCCTAGATAAGGTCACCTCCACAGGTTCCAGATGGACGTGAATTTTGGGGACACGGCCAACCCCTTCCCTGGGTGCTGCAAGCAGCCCAGGGAGTGGCTGGTCTGCACTCTGACCACCACTGCAGCGGCCACTGCTCCCGACACCTCAGCACGGGCCTCTCTGTGGTGTACAGTGGGACTCTGTGTCTTCCTACTCACAAATGGAATGCAAATCGCTCTTTCAGACACTTGGTGACCATGTAGGTTTCCTGCACTGGAATGTGCCCGTCCACTGCTCCATGAGTGCTGGTCTTTCTCTTCGTGTGCAGTTTCCTCTCATCTGACTTTGATTGCAGAGACCTTCTTCCCCCCGTGTCCTGTCTTTGCACTCCTTCGGGGTGTCCTTTGATGCAAGCATCAACTTCCTAAGTCAGGTGATTTCTTGGCACATTGATTGGAGTCCTTGCTCCAGGGTCATGGAGGTGACTTCCAGAGGAGTCTTTCAGCAGATTGCTGCTGCCTTTTACCCCTAGGTCTCCTGGAACTGGCTTGTGGTCTAGGTGATTTTTGTGGGTGCCGACCGGCCCCTGTGGGAAAGCCTCTCCCCGCTCTTGGGCACACATCCCCCCGTGACTGGTGTGCGTCCACTTGGCCTGCTGCGTGGGTCTGCTCTGCCCTGGGCCTGCATCCCCCAGGCAGGTCCCAGCCTCCTCCTCCCTGGACAGGCCCCGAGCTCCTTGCGCTCTAGACGGAGTGCACAGAGGAGCACCAGCAGTGAGACGGCTGAGGCTCTCACTGGGTATTAATTTGGGAAGGGCCGAGTCCTTCCGGCCTCGAGTCTTCCAGTCTGTGAACACTGGGTGGCTCCCCATTTGTTGATCCCTCAGAGTTTTCAATAAACCCCTGTAGTTCTCTTTGTAATGCTCTTGCTCTCTTTTGGGTAGATTTATTCTTCTTTTTCCTCTATTGTAAATGTTCCCTCTTCTCAAAATTTTATTATATCTACAAATACAGCTGGTTTATAGAAATGGATTGATTTTTTAAATCCAGTCATCTCACTGGACATTTTTGTCAATTTTATGGATTAATATTCCCTTGGATTTGTCACATAAGCGATTATATCATCTCATGAATTGCCTTTACCCTTATCATCGTCGTACCTTTTTTCCTTACTTAATCACCTGGCCAGGACTCTATCTGATTCGTCCATTCATTCCTCTCTGACTCTGGGGGGCCTCAGGTGCACAAGCTGTGGCTGATGGTAGTTCTCAGTTCATGAAACACTCTCTGTTCTTTTTTTTTTTTTTTTAAGACTTTTTTTTGAGAGAGTGAGAGAGAGAGAGGGAGAGAGAATTTTTTTAATATTTATTTTTTAGTTTTCGGCGGATACAACATCTTTCTTTGTATGTGGTACTGAGGATGGAACCTGGGCCGCACGCATGCCAGGCGAGCGTGCTGCCGCTTGAGCCACATCCCCCACTCTCGTGTTCTTGCTGGGCGGTTTTTCATCTCAGTCACTGTGATCAAGTAATGAGCTGCTGCCGCAGCGACCTCCGCCCATCACGCCCTCCTGCTTTGCTTCTCCGGGCACCCTTGGTGTGAGCAAGGCCTGGCAGTGGAGCGGGACTTCCCAGCACTGAGCCGCCATTCCTACGCCCGCCAGTCCTGCCTGTGCGTCCCTTTCTGATTCTCGTTATTGAGCCTATGTGCTCTCTTTTAACAGACTGTGGACTGCAGCCATTCTTACTTGTTAAGGAGGTATTGTAGGGCCCCATGGGGGGAACGGGACATTCCCACAGACGTCATATCGCTGAGACTGGCCCCTGTGGCTGCAGTCCCTGTGGGAATTCTGGTGGCTGCGTTGAGGCTGTAGCAGGCTTTGCTTTGGCGGGCAGCGCTTTTGTGAACATTCTTATGCCCCATGGCCACGAGCAAGTGTCTTGTGAGTGTATTTCCTGATGGAACTGCTAGCTCATGGGATCTGCAGATGCTTCAGTTAAGGAGACAACCGGAAGCTTGTAAGAGGTCTCCTGGACCCACAGAAGTGGGTCACCAGGTGCTGTCAGCAAGTGGACTGGAGGGGTGGCGGGTTTCGGTTTTGACTGTGCTAATGTCTCACACACCCTTGATTGACAGCTGGGTTTCTTGGTGTGCTTTGTTGGTGGTGTAGCTTCCTTCTGTGAAATGTCAGTTCCTACCATTGCCTTTTCTCCTGGGGGTGAGTTGTGCTCAAAGACACTGTTTTGGATGGCTTCTCCCAGTTAGCAATTTGTTCTCAGTTTTTTAAAAGATGCCCTTTGGTCAGCAAAAGTTGTTCATTTTCGTGTGGCCAAATTATCGGTCTTTTTCTTTCAGTGCTATCTTGGTTTTAGGAAATCTTTCCTTAGGTCAGAGTTTAAAATACTACTCTCCTGTATTAATTACTAGAGCTTCAAGTTCCGTTTTTCGATGAACACCTTTAGCCCATCTGAAGTTGGTCTGTGTGCACAGTGTGAGGTACGGATCAAGCTCTACATCGACACAGGCAACTGCCTTTTCAGGCACTTGTGGGACAACCTTCCTCTGATGGGCTGATGTCCCGCCTGGGTGCACAGCTGGGCCTGGAGCCTGCTCCACGTTGCTGGAAGTTCCCTTGTCCCCGTGCAGGGCCACGCTGCCCAGCTGCCGCACCTTATATCTGCAGGGGAGGGTCCCTCTGGTTGTACTCTCTTCTTGACACATGTCACAACTGTCTTATGAAGTGTCACAGAAAGCCCTGCGGAGGGATCGGTGGGAATCACATTGAATCCATAGGCCAACTTGGGGAAATTGATGATTACGGATCTGCCTTCCCCTCCTCGAGCCTCGGGCATTCCCACTACCTTGGACTTGTGACTGCGCTGCACGCTCCTTGGAGGGCATGTGCGTGTCATCACACCTGGTCTGGTTGCTACGGCACGTGTGTCGTCTCTGCGAGTGCCTGTGTCCGTTGTTCTCTGCCGTTCACACAGTGACCACCCTCCAAGCCCCTTGTTCTCTTGAGAGACTCTGCGCATTCCCTGAGCTTTCTGTGTCTGCCCCTAGGTGTGCAAGGAGTCCGACACCTCTGCAGTCAGAGGGAGCCCTGGGTGCTGACCAGCGGTCACCAGGCCGCCGGCCCACACCAGGGCATGGGCAGCCCCCAGGGCGGCGTTGGGGGTGGGCTTGCTGCGCAGAGACCCGCCTGCGGGGAGTGGGCAGCCTGAGAGCGCCCGGCGCCACTGCTATGCACCGTCTCCCCGAACAGTCCTGACTGCGCCAGGGAGGGACAGGGCAGCAGGCAGGGGCCAGCAGTCACCCTCCACTTCAGCTGACTGCCCTGTAGCCCACCCAGTCCAGCCTCCTCGCCCTCTGTCCCCACCTGTTCTGGATGGATTTGTTTCCTTCTCATTCCAGCTTTCCTTCTTTGGGGGTGGGGTTGAGCCTGGGGGTGCTCTCCCACTGAGCCGCGTCCCCAGCCACCCACTTTTTCCTTGGACTATTTCTTTGGAAGAGAGGCCCCCACACTGCTACTCAGTTAAGAAACCGTGTTTACAGGCCAGAGTCCTTTATGCCTTTGCCCCATTATGCATGAACTCACAGGCCAGCTCCCAGCAGGCGCTCCTCGGCGGTCCTCTCAGGGCTTCTCTGGGCAGGGTGGCTGGCCTTCCAGTGAATGGCCTTTCTCTTTGGCTGCCTTTTCCTGACTGTTCTCCTTCACAGGGTTCAGGAAGCTGTCTGTGCTCTGAGAGAGACTGAGTTGCTCAGTTCACACACTGAACCACTGTCCTCCTGCAGAACTGCCTGTTTGCCAGGTGACAGTGTGCTGGGAAATGCCAGGCGCTC